GATTGTTGGCCATGGTACGCCAGAAGTAGAAGTAGAAGTCGTGCGGGGAGGCTCCTTTCGTGTACCCCGTCCGTATGATTAAATCCGACCACAGCATTTGTGGGTTTAGTCTTAGATTTAACGTATTTATACTGGAGAGTTAGTGATAAATCATAGAAAACCAGCGTCACAGTCAAAGGCTGTGGCATAAGCTAAATGAAGTCCTTTTGCCGCACAAATGACAATTTGTTTTTTTTTTTGTGTATTTTATTTTGTTTATTAATTATTTTAATTTTAATTATTAATACAAAGATCGAACATCAGAAAAAACACTCAGAAAAAAATCGTTCGATCCGGTCGGAGGTAAATATTTTTATTTTGTTTTTTTTTTTTGTCTAAGTGCTTTCAATAGGAAATGAAACTATTTTTCCAGATTTAAATCGCGTATATTTGTTTTTTCAAACAAACCGACGTTTCGGGCCCTTTACAGGTGCTTTCAATATTTTTTTTTAATATGTGTTATGGCGTTGCAATAAATGTCTATTCTATTCTAAGTGTTTTTAATACTCGTTGTTGTTTTTTCAAGACATAAATTTCACGACAAATGTTATTTATTCGCTTTTTCGACTACCAAAGCTGGGTTGATCGTTGATTATGTCGCCCTTTACAACACAAATGTACGTATTTTACAATTTTAACGAATATGAATTTATGTACATCATAACATATGATTCTGAAGCGAGCTATATAAATAACTTGCCTCAAAATTGTAAGTTACGTCAGTTTGTGCTAACGGGGACTATGTAACTAACTACCTCGTTCAAATTAGTGGTTACAACTCCTACGCTCTACAATAAATGCCATAAACACACCTAACACTTGCCACCACAAATTCGTCCTTTAGTAGCTTTAACATTGTGATATTTTAATTAAAGTTTTTTAACGTAATATAGCTATAGCTGTATGTAGTTGTTCCCGGAAGGCGGTCATATCAAATATATTAATGTCCTCCAATACAGAATATGATTATCTACAAGAATAATATTTGACGAAACGGCGTCAAGTCAATTTAAGTTTGAAGGTAACGGGCGCAGTGGCAGTGTCTCTTAAGTCTTTGCTATTTAAAATTCTGAGCGGTACTGCAACTGTTATGGGCAGGGAAAACTAGGTGCACGAAAGGAACCTCCCCGCAATGACGTTCGAATGGTATTCTTTGTATAAGTTTCCGGAACTGGCCACTTATATAAACATTTTTTTTTAATATATATATTAATATAGTATTAATATAATAGACACACGCTTGGCCACAATCTCACCTGATGTTAAGCGACGATGTGACCGACGATGTTACGCGTTTGCCTAAAAATACCCATTCACACTAGCCTTGAATAGCCCCAAATTGTACTTTTCGGGCAGCACAGATAGCCGGTAAAGCATACCATTCCTTTGCCGAACGCATCAGAAAGGAAGTAGCGAATAGGTGGTATATCAACAACATAAGGATGGAATGCTCCGGACCTTCTAATCGACCGAAGGAGGAACAGTGAGGGCGGAACCAAATTGAAAAGTTTCTACGCACACTCCTCGAAATGTATCCGATAAAAAACCGACAAGCAGGCTACTTTTCTGCGATGGTCGAGATTTTAAAGCTTCGACTCCACAAGAGAATTATTGTTAATAAGTCTCCTTGTTTTTCGCTCCACTGAGTCCAAGGCAGCTAACTGGTAATGGGCAGAGCCGTCCCAAAGGTGGCAGCAGTACTCTATACAGGATCGAACTTGTGCTTTATACAGATTTAAAAGCGTGAACTACCGCCTGACCTTGTAAAGTATGCCTAGTTTTCTGACAGTAGTTTTTGCCAAGCACTCGATATATCGCCCAAAGTTGAGGTTGGATGATAAGTCCAGACCAAATAGCTCAAGGTGGTCCCTTATCGGCACGGATACATTTCGGAAAGTCGGAGTAAGGACTCCATTTTGATGTGAAAAGACACGCTTGTATTTTAGCCGCATTAAACCTGACCCTGTAGCATCTCCCCAGTCGGAAGCAGCTTTCAGACTCAGCTTCAACCGAGTGACCATCGCCTCTCGCTTACACCGGATCTCTTCGCTGTTGTCTCGGGCGTCTGGCACATAACTCTCTACCACTGTGCTGTTGTCTGCGTACCCAAAAATACCGGGCATCAGCTGCAGGTCGTTGATATGCAGCAAGAATAGAGTGGCGGAGAGAACAGATCCCTGAGGTACACCGGCTTTTTTTACCATGATTAGCAGACGAGTAACCATCTCCAACTACATGGATTGACCTATCCTTCAGAAAATTGCCTATCCATATGCAAAAGCTAACAGGAATTCCGTAAGGTGGAAACTTGTTTAACAGGCTACCATGCCAAACCCTATCAAAGGCCTTTGATATGTCGAGAGACACAGCAAGCAATTCACCGCGTTTCTCCACAGCTTCGCTCCATAAATGTATGGCATACGCAAGGTAGGATCCCCAGTAGATCGATCACGGCGAAAACCATACTGTCGATCACTGAGGAGATCGTTATCTTCGAGGTATCCAAGGAGACGGCTGTTCATTACGCGCTCCATAGTCTTACAGAGTATTGAGGTGATTGCTATAGGGCGATATTTAGATGAGTACCATTATTCATTCCGGAAACTTATAGTACGCCCCACGTACGTCTGACATACCCTGGGCGACAATCGGCAAATACATTACGCCGATTGGCAAATCCTTTCAGGCGATAGCATATATATACCACACACATTTCAGCATGGCGGCTACTTGTAACGTTATTAGCATGGCTAAGTTCTAGGCTGAGATAATATCGTCGCCTTACTTTGTCAAACTCGTATCTTAAAGCACAAAGTTATTGAAATGCAAAAATGGATTGTATATACAAATTTTGCAGACTGATTTCACATCACACTTCTTCATATTCATACACTAGCTTTTACCTATTCTTAAAAAATGCATCCAACCCTTGATAAGAAATTCAAAATAAATAGAGGTTTTGCCATCTCCTGAATAATCACTCTTTATAAGATACGAGTTTGAGAAAGTAAGGCATCGATATAGTATATGCCATCTATACGATAAAAAGAACACTAGGCTCACGATTTAGGCTCAACTTACACTGGCGCACAGTCGCAGCGTCGCGTCGAGTCCTGTTTTTCAATCACAACGCATGGCGACTCACGTCGTCGCGCGACGGCGACTATAGGCGAAAAACATTATGCGTCGCCACGCGACGACTCTGCGCCAGTGTGAGTTGCGCCTTATTCGTTCTTGATATCATAAAAATCCTTTACAAGGCGAGCTAAATGGACGATCCTTTATACTGGTGACCTGCACGTGGCATGAAGTGACGCGCACTGCCCATGCCTCTCTTCGCGGTTTACCTGCGCCGCTCTCGTCGTTATCGGCTGTCAGAATTTTCCATGTCGCACTAGTGATGGTGGACCAAGTTAGTTACACAACCATTGAATAACAAAAAGATCGAAATTATAATTTTATTTAGGTTATCAATTAACCGTAATAAGTTGTAATAAATAAGTTTAAAATGTTTGTGCAATATAATATATAAATTTTCAAAAATTATATTTCTTTTTATACACAATAATTGATGTTAGAAATTCAAACATGATTTTTGCCACTGTGACTTCCAACGATCAGTAGGTTCTCCATGTGTTCTACTAGTATTAATATACATTTAAATGTATTCTGAATAGTAATAACAGCAGTTTACAAGTATGTACATTCTAAAAACACACTTTTCTAGTCGTGACACAATATAATGTGAGGTAAGAATGTACATGCTACCAAAAAGACACTCAAAAGATTATTAAATGGGTTTACCAGGAATGCAAAGAGTTTTTAAAAAGTAAGGCTATTAGAATGTACAGATCGTGATACTATGATGCAATGTTGACTTATATTCCGTGTGTAAATTTTACAGAAGTGATTAAAATGGGAACCCATTTTAAAAGCACTTTTACGAGGGAGTGAAAGGTGATAAGAGTGAAAATGTATTACTGTGTAGTGGGTTCTAAAGTAATTTTAATGTAACTGCCAACTTAGCAAGGAAGTGATGTTGGTATTTTGGTGGTGTTTTTGCCGTTTACTTATATTGTTCACATGTGACTTAATAGTGCTATGAGGTTAAGATACTTTGAAAAGGAACTATTTTGTTTTGGAATGAAGTGAATTACGTATGAGATACTTACGGATAAAATTAATACAAGCATTTTGACCGCCACTGACAAAAACTAGTTTTGTTTCCCAGACGTCAAGCCTAGTGATGTGATAGAAGAAGTGAAGATAAGGTTAAAATTCAATTCTCCTAAGTTAAACAATACACGGTTTAAAGCGTCCATGGCGGTGAAAAGGTTAAGAATAGCCTTGGTAGCAAAAAACCGCTGTAGCCTAATGGTTGACCTACCGCCTCACAAGCAGAGGCCATGGTTCGAATCCAGCCTCGCACTTATGAGTTTCTCAGAGTTTATGTGCGACATTTAATTTGAAATTTGCCGATAGTTTTTCGAAGGAAACCTTCATGTCGAAGATGGTTCACAACTCTCGGAAAACGTGTGAAGTCCCCAACCCGCATAGGGCCAACGTGGCGGACCATGCCGTAAACTCTAGCCTGAAAGCCGTGTCCAGCAATGCGACATATGAATAGGTTGATGGTGTGATTGAAAACAAACGTATTTTTTGCGATTTTTAGTGAAGTAACTCCCCCAGGTTTGTTATGTTTATTTGTTATCATAACAAATAACACCACTAGTTTTGTTATGTTTATTTGTTACCATAACAAGTAACTCCACTAGTTTTATTATGTTTATTATAAAACCATAACAAAACTAGTGTAGTAACCAAAAATCGCAATAAATACAGGTTGATGGTGATAAAGAATAGCACATGCCAAAGTATATTCCGCAATTAAGATATTTACATTAAACTAAGTATCTAAATAGAATTATGATTTTAAAAAACTTCATTTTAATTGTTCTCAGATTAAACTACGCCCTATCGGGTCTCCGGCCGTGGTGGTGGCACGCTTGCAACATCATGCTTCACACCGCATGCTGTGCGCTCGTAACGCGTGCATGCGTTACAATCGCGCGTCTACAGCGGCCGTTCGCTGCTTTAGCTGCTGTCTTGTTTGCTGTGCATCCTGTACACACAGAAGCGGTAAGTTTGAATAAACATGATTACAAATCCTTCCCATGCATTGTAAGACGCAGCTGCTAATAGATTAATATGCAGCAACTATAAAAAAAAATATTACAGCGTATGTGATTTATTTATTTATTTTATAATTAAGCATCAACAGTAGTACGCGTACTCTAGACAACAGTGTAATTTTATATTAGTTTTGTACTTATATGTCTACCTATTACAGGCGTACACAGCATTTAATCATTCAAAGGCAAAGTAATTTGTAAGAATGACAGCTTCAGTAAGTGTTTAATAACTTTCAATAAAAAATCAAATACAATTAAATTGTTACAAAGGCATACTTTTAAAGTATAATTTACAAAATGGTTTTTGGCTACTGTAGCAAAAAATAGTATATACGGCCAGAAACCAGGAGAGTGGCCGTACCGCCAAATATTCGGCCAAACTATTCGGTCTGATTAATGCACGCATGAAAATTGGCACGAAAAACTAACTCACTTATTAAGTTTAGCTGTGATAATTTAATTACAATTTTGTGCTGTGAAATGAAAAAATGTAATTTAAATTTTAAAATGTAGTTATTTATTTCACGTTTGATTAACTTTCAAAATAAATATTGGGTGTTGTGAAATTATGCTTTCTCAAACTTACTATCCACGTTCAGCATTCATAAAAATTATGTGATTGTGTTCATATTTATTCAGCCACTATTTAGATATTCGGCTGAATAGTGATTCAATATTCGGTATCCGTCCGAATATTAATCGAATTTTCGTTGCAACTCTACTTTTGACTAATTGCTTATATATTAATCAAAAATACTTAGAATTGACAAATACTTATTTACATTACTTTAATTTCAAATGCAATTAACTGTCAAAGTGAAACATGTAATTCTATTAATACGTACCCTATTTTAATTAAAACCTGTATAATTACAATATTCCGACAAATAAACATACTCTATTCACCGACAAAAACGGTACTCAGCATGAAGTCCACCTAAGGTGTCGAGAGTGCATTTAAATCCCAACCATATATCTCAGTAATAAGCTTTATAAATATATCTGCCACGATCTATTAGTCTTAATTTCCTTCACGTAATATAAGACATTGTTATGCGAGTTAATATTAAACGTTTTGCTCAACAGGTGGCTGGCGTAGTGGGCAGAGCCGACGTGTTGGCTTGTATTTTCTTCCTTTCATCGTTATTAGTGTATCATAGGTTAGTAAATAAATAGCCTAATAATTTATAATATAAAGCCTTAATATGATTGGTTCTTTGACACAAAACTTGACAATTGTGTAAGTCCAGAAGTAGAACACCTCTAGAGGTACCCGAATCAGTCCTACGAATTTTCTGCGGTAGTTTTCTAGTCTTTACTTTTGTCTTTTTTACCAACCTCCACGATGATCTTAATCGTAGTGATGTGAATACTTCAGTATTCTCATCACTACGATTTTATATACTATTTATAAATACGTATTTTTTTTATTATGTGTATAAATGTCTAGTTGACGCATAAGCATTTGTCACGATAAATCTAATTATGGTGTTATAAAAATAATTTAATTTCAAAATGCAAACACAGAACATATACTTTATCAGTCCTTTATTTAAAAACTTCATGTTTTTCTATTTGCTTTGTAAATATCATTAAGCTATGTCTATAGCATCATCCTTAAAATTTGATGCAAAATACACAAAGTCCAGTACAGGTTTAATGCGTAGGAGAAAATGAAAATGATTTCATTTAGACAACATGTTTTGGGACAACCTGTATGTTTATGTTATTTATGTTTCAACGAGCTCGGTAGTCAATTTTGCTTTGTGGACGCTTAATGAGAAGGTTTCAGGTTCCGGAATAATTTCCGTTGTTCTAGCACTCATAGTGCATGGAAATCCCTAGACATAGACCAGGTACCTAATTGGTGTGGTTATCTGGCATATTATTATATATAGCGTAGCGTCAAAATGGTAGCTACGATTTCTTTGCTATAAAATTATGTAATTAATATGCAAATGGATTCGCCCACTCACCCCTTGATGTCTCTCCCCTACGCCAACAATCTATTTTATGGTTAGCGCATTTAGTTGCGGTATCACGCTGTAACTTTGACTACACAGTTAGCTAAATCTTCTATGTTGACTGACGCGGTTGAAAGGCTTGCTGTACACGTGACAACTTCAGATGCATTATAAAGTACATAAGACATGAGAACGCGGAACGAGTGACCGCCTAACAGCATGATTCGACTTCTACTTGCGTAATTACAGCAACATATTTGATAACATGTACGTCAATCTCGTCTGTATACTATCACTTTTGTCCCGCCTTCTGAGAGTTGTCTTCCTAGACACGTATTGCCAAGGCCGATTTGGAAGACTTTATAGTCTGTCTTTTCTAAAGATTGAGTAAAATGACAGTTTCTTGCGCAAAACTGTTTCCCGCTTGCGAGCAGTCGATAAATATTCTATCGACTATCGACTGATAGAAAAAATAGCCGAACATGTTACATTTTAATTGTCCTCGACCCATTGTTCATCCAATTACTGAGCACAAGTCCATTCGAATTGTCAATGTTTGTAAGTTCATACTCACTATATTGAGAACTATGTTTATGAAAAAATACAAAGAGGAGACACATTTTAGAGTTTTTCTTTTCAATTGAATACAGATAACGAAATCCGGCAATTCTTGTTAAAACATATATGAATAAAAATTGATCTCGATATTAGTAGGCCAACTGTAAAAACTGGAAAAAAAAGGCAATAACGCAATCAGTGATCATTAGAACGTCGTAACTTTTACAATTCAGTCATTTTGGCAAAATTTTATCTTCTTTCACAATCCTCCGATAAAACAACAACAACTACATGACTATTTAAAATTTTATAAAAACTGGCAACCCTACAAACGTCATTTTATTCCGTCTTCAAAAAAGACAAACTATAGATAGGTTTCAGACTCAGGTTGGTTGCAGTAAAGACAAATTGCTCAGGTGGGGATTTTCAAATGAATTTGACCTGGATTATTTATGCGGTGCGATTCAAACGATGGCCCATCTCGTATCGTGCCCTGCGTGCCCTAACACATGTCGCTTGTGGATTTAATGGCGGCTACTAGTGACGCGGTCGACGTGGCCGGGTTCTGTGCCACAATGGTATAGTGTATGCCATCGATACAATAAGAACAAGAAGATGTGTGTACCCTAACCTATAGAAAAAATAATATATCAGTAATCTGAATTATATTCCTGATATAATATTACTATGATCTGGGAAAACGAAGTCACCATCCAATTACTCAGGATGATAAGGCGACTGGAATCAGAGAAGTGCTATCATAAATCATTTTGTTAACGTAGAGTCTTAAATTCAAAATATTGTGTTAATGTATTTTCTTTATTGAACAAACTTTCACCATGGTAATACATCATGCTATATCCTTACAAAATATTGACCTGACTCGACAATAAACCACACTATACGTGTTGAATTCGGAATTTTCATACAATTGGAATGAAAAGGGTCGTATTCGATCCTAATTCATATTGTGACAGAATAGGGCTCGTGTCTGGTGGAGCACATTAGTGTACAATAAAAAAGACCGCGTATCTTGGGCCCGTGACAAAGATTTTTTTTTGTTGTACTTTCATAGTAAAATTTTTCAGACCTACAAGCAACAAGAAGTGTGTATGGCTAAGCATAATCCTCGGAGCTCTGAGTATGCTGGCCAAGGAGACCGGAGTAACGATTCTGCTCCTCAACTTAGCTATTGACTTTTATAGATGCTGGCCATTTGTTAAAAAGTGAGTATGTTGTTTTAAAAAATCGACATTACATTATCGTGTACTTAGAAATATTTATCGTAGAACGCAAATGCAAATACACACAAAGCTTGACAGTTTGGACTTTAAACATTCTTATCATTATTAGCGTAGAGCTGAATTTAAAATTTAAGTGTCAAGCTTGTGCCAACAATAACAAAATAATATTTCAAGTGACCAAGGGGCTTGTAAGAAGCTCGAAATGTTGTTTTGTTTGAAAAAACAAATAAAGGCGATTTAGATTCCCAAAAATATTTTCAATTCTAAATTATAATGATTATATTTGTAACTTTTTACAAAAAAAAAAACTTGACCTCAAAAGTTCGTGGAGTTACATACATTTGCCAAGTTTTATTGAAATCGGTTACCGGAAAGTACGCGACACCGGATCATCCCCTCGTTTGCCACCTTTAGAGGTGGAATATTACCTTCAAATTTAATGTGACCAATACAGAGATACTTACTTTCCAACAAAAAAAGAATCATCAAAATCGGTTCACACATTATAGTTATCGTGTAACATACATACAAAAAAAATTGAGAAACTCCTCCTTTTTATTGAAGTCGGCTAAAAATGAAATTGCATATTTTACTTTCGAGATAAATACATGATAAATTCGTTACAACTATTAAAAGTTATTAAGAAGAGTTTATCAGACTGCCACCTTACCTATTTCTGCCGCTAAGCAGTAATTTGAGCATTACTGCGTTCCGGTTATGAAGGATGAGGGTGCTGGCGAAATTACAGGCACATGAGAATTGTCAACTTACGTCTCAAGGCGCAATGGCAGTGCCCCTCAGATCTTTGCAATTTAAAGTTCTGAGTGGCACTGGACCTGCTATGGACAGGCGGGTCGCTTATACCAGGCGCACGACTTGTTCGTCCAGTCACTTGGTACCATAAAAAAATATAATACACACATCGAACACAAAGAAAAATAATAATAATAAATAAATAAATATTAGACAACATCACAAACGTTGCTCTGACTCCAAAGTAAGTAGCTACGTAGTAGGCACTTGTGTTATGGAAATCGGAAACAACGACGGTACTACGAACACCCAAACTCGAGACAATATAGAAAAGTTAGTTTTCTACACTGACCCCGCCGGGGATCGAACCCGGGACCTCAGAGTTGGCGACACCATGAAAACCGGTGTGCAAGCGACTCGACCACGGAGGCCGTCAATTCCTTCAACCTGAAAGACTTAAACCTGTGACCACGCTGTACCGTAGCGTCGCGCTGCCAACTAAGTTACAGGTCGAGTCAGCAGGTCGACGAAATGCTTCTAAGTGTCTGTTGTAATTATTTGTATTGGGTTTTTCGGCATTCAACGCCGTAAGCGATACCTTGTGACAGATTTATGACCTTTCTCACGCAACCGGTACCTTTACAGTTACAATGTTTCGTTGTAATCAAGTAATTATTCATAATTTTTAAAAATAGTAATTTTATGACTGGTCAGATAATTAAAGAACATAAATACGCACCTGCGTTGTTTTCTATCACTATAATACTATTATCTTTTGACTACCAAGTCAAAAGAGCAATTCTTCAATTAAAATCAATATTAAAATATGTTACAAATACACTCTCAACCTTAAAAATTCCTTACACGTCAGTAGAGTAAAAATGACATAAGTATTACAAACAAACTCAACACTTATTTTAACTTTATGTCGCCTTTTTTATTGTTATGTTGTTTATGGAATGGCTGTAAAATTATTTTATTGTACGCCGTCTTTATTACTATAATTATGGCTGGATCTGATAAATGTGCAACCTAAAAGCCACCACACTCAAATCTTAGTTCATTTAAGAATATAAAACGTTTTATATTTTTTGTTTTTTTTTTTATGATATCAAATAACGGGACGAACGAGTCGTACGCCTGGTGTCAAGCAACACTCCTGTTCATAACAGTTGCAGTGCCACTCAGAGCTTTAAATCGCAAAGATCTAAGGGACACTGCCACTGCGCCCTGTCACCCTGAGATATAAGTTGACAAGTCTCATGTGCCTATAATTTCACCATCACCCTTACACTTCCAAACCAGAATGCAATAAGTAATACTCACATTACTTAGAAATAGGTAAGGTTTCCCAGGACGAAATCTTTCACAAGGAGCTCACTGCTAACAAGTTTTGGTTTTTTATTTTCATTAATAAGAAAAAATACTAAACGTCAGTAAATAAAAGCTTTACCCATCCATGGATCCATCTATACTTTGACCAAAACTTTTAAACTACGTACATTCATCACCCAAATGGATTCATTAATTCGTTAACCTACATAAAAACAAGCTTCTAACCTCACAAATACTCTGAAACGAAATTAACAGTCAATGAACCTTTCACGAAGAGCGAGCCTTTGTTAATTTATTCCTTTGAATTCGGCTTTTGATAAAATTTATAACCTCGTTAAATAAGATTGAAAAGATGAGGCTGTATTGATCGTGAAAATTATCTAATTCATGATACGAATCAATTAACTTGTTTTTTAATAATAAATTGTTTCTAAGTATTAAAGGAAGGCATGACAGAGTAAAAGATAATATATTTTTAAGTAATTTTCCGTGTAACCCTAAATAAATAACTATAAGAAGCTGAATGCAACTTTTTGTATCAGAGAATGCAAATACGATTATAGAACCTCGGCATCCTACGTACATGCTACTGCTATCTTTTTCACTCTATTAAGTACATCAATATAGATAAAATTACATAAATGAAGCGGCTTATTTAATGTGCATAAATTGGTTTGATAATTAATAAAACTTACCATTTACAAGTTATATAATTGAACTTTGATATTTCACTTCAATGTTCATAAAATTACATAAATTACGTTTAAAGTGACTTGTTTACTGTGTATAAAGTGATTTTAAAAGGACAAATTAAACTTATAACGTCCATATATTATTATTATCCCGATAATTTATATCAAAGTAGATAAAATTACAGAAATTACGCCATAAAGCGGCTTATTCACTGTGCATAAAGTAATTTGAAAAATGTTAAAACTTACCATATACATATATTTTCCCGATAATTCATATCAATGTAGATAAAATTACGTTAGAAGCAACTTATTAATTGAGCATAAAGTGATTTGAAAAATAATGAAACTTAATATTTATTTAACATTCATTAAATGTATATTAAATCGATACTTATGAAATGAATAACCACAAGTCTTAATTTTTATATTGATGAATGTTACTGTAGGCAAATGTTTCAAATCATTTGTCAAGTAAGAATAAAAGTTAATTGCTCCTTATTTGTACTCAGGTCATTATGTTCACTGAAGATTGAAAAGAAATGCACAGGCCTGTCAGTAAGAACCATAAAAGTGGTGGTATCTCTGGCGCTGCTTATCTGCCTCCGGCTTGCCTTGCTGCAAGGCACTTGGCCAACGTTCTCGCCTCAAGACAACCCAGCTGCTTTTCACCCCAGTTTTGTTGTAAGGTAAGACAGGAATCGCTTATTTCTTGTATATAAAATGCAAGTTTAGTTCGAGTATCAATAACGTATTTACGACTCAAAGTAGGTAATTCGTAGTATATAGAAGTAAATCGCAAAAGCTCGCCGATACGTTGACGTGCACTAATCCAGCTACAAAATAAGTTGAAAAATGTTTATGTCTTCGTTCGCGTGAAATATGGAAATGAGTTATGCTATGAAATTTTTACTACCACCCGACAAGCTGTAATCCCGTCCACGGTACCAAAAGGATCAAGTGTACCTTACCCGGCCCTACCCTCGTCATTTATATAATCTTCTTTATTCCCAGGTTGATGACATTCTGCTACTTAGCAGCGTTCAACTGGTGGCTGTTGCTGTGTCCGTGGCCTCTCTCGCACGACTGGCAGATGGGTTCCGTGCCGCTGGTAACCAGCGGGTGGGACCCACGGAATTTTCTTACGGGAGCTGCTATGATAGCTCTACTTGCACTAGTTACTAGATGCATTTTAGATTTAGAGGTAAAGATTCAGGCACAGTTTATTGGGCTTTTATTGTTTTGCTAATGGCACGAGAAATTGTTTCACAACAATAATATTTTTAGAAAAATGTGGTTCCAATTTCTCGTTATTCTCTGATAGTCTCGGATAGTCATTTCAAAGTTGAATCCCACCTTTGCTCTGCCATATATTTTATTGAAACGTAAGAGAGGAGATTTTGACGATGGAGCATGCACATCTAAATAATGCCTATTCACTCTCGTCTTTGTTTATTTCACTTCCAGAAAATTTATTGACGTAGTATATTTCAACAGGTACAAAGACATACGCCGGTGGTAATAGGCCTTCTACTCCTCGTGGTGCCATTTGTCCCAGCCAGCAATCTTCTGGTCACTGTCGGGTTCGTCATCGCCGAACGAGTACTTTATATTCCGAGGTAAATTATGAGTACTGTGTATGATAGATACAAAAAACTACAGTGTGTATTTTAAATTACGAAAATATTATCGACTTTTAAACAAGGTAACGCAATATGTGTTGCAGTTGGGTTGGGATGCTCCAAGTCACCGTTTATGCTAATTATTTCGTCGGACTCAAGTGAGATTGCAATTATGACAATATTTGTTATTCTGCTAAAATCTATTTGCTATGGCAATTAAGACTCTATAGAGTGTCAGTGATAACATTCATTCATTAATCACTAACGATCGATGTTGCCTTACTAAAACTTCCTTGGAAATGACTATGCATATCTTAATTTTTATCTCGTTTAAACGGCAAATTTTATGAATTTTTTTATGTGAAATAATTAAAATAAATGACGGCCTCCATGGTCGCGTGGCTTGCATACCGGTTTTCATGGTGTCGACATCTCTGAGGTCTCGGGTTCGATCCCCGGCCGGATCAGTGTAGAAACTAACTTTTCTATATTGTCTCGCGTCCGGGTGTGTGTGGTATGTACCGTCGTTGTTTCCCATATTTTTTTTTTTATTTCCATAACACAAGTGCCTTTAACTACTTACTTTGGGATCAGAGCAACATGTGATGTTGTTTAATATTTATTTATTATTAAGTATATATGTATATAGTTTTATTTACACACAGCTTTGATTTAGAATGGAGAACAAAATAACAAAACAATAGTCTAACTGAATTTCCACATTCTATTCTATGTTAACTAATATTTATTTATTATTTAGTAGACAATGCCGATGACGTGCCATCAACTTTTCTATCCTTTAGGCTTCAACTCGCCATTGAAGAGCAGAATATCAAAAAATTAAAAAAAATGAACAATAAATAGCTCGATGGCCAATCACTGACATGCCACTACTTTTAACTATTTTAACAGATTCGTGTTCGTTCCAAATCCGAGACTATACAAATCTAGAAAACACGGACCCACTTCGGATGTCGCTAATGCACTAAATCCAATCCGAGGAATCAAGGAATCCGAGGAAATTCGAATACCGCTAGTACGCCTAGAGATAAAATGATCCCGGTGACAGTTCGGACCGTCAATTCTCGGATTCGGAACTGATACGAATTGAAGGTAATGCGCAAGCGCTCTAAAATCACTGCTGTTAGCAGAATGCCCAAACGTACAAAATACTGCCATTGACGCTGTCGGCGCATAACTGAGCTGATTTAAATTTCTCAGATTACACTTTATGTAAATATTCAGTATAAACTGAATAAAAAAACCGACCTCAAAAGTACGTGGAATTACGTCTATTTGCTAAGTTTTATTGAAGTATCCCCTAGTTCGCGACTATACAGGACTTGACACTGGAGATAATAATAATCAGTTCTCACTCAAAGTATATTGAGAGAAAAACGCCTTGAATTGGAGAAATACCAAAATCAACCATTAAAATAATTGCTCCTAAATTGAGAACCTCCTCCTTTTTTGAAGTCGGTTAAAAACGCGAGTACACTTTCCATATATGTGAAGATTCCAGGTAGAGTGATCTTGTTTTGATTAATAACTAATCAAACTGGATATCATTTTATGGACTAGAAAGTAATTTCTATGATGATGGTTAATTAGCATTCTGTTCAGCTATACAGGTGACTAAAGTTTGCAAGATTTTGAATCACATTCTACATAAAAAAACGTTTACCAAAAATAGAAATTCAGCTTTTCTATACTGTAGGTTGTATACAGTAAGGAACTCCTTTATAAAAATTGTTCGTATTAATGTTTTGAATCACCCTTTAAAAGTCTCGAGGACTTTTTGGGGTCACTTTGTATAATTTTAGAATTACACGAGCTCAAAAAAAATCTCCTAATTTACGACCCAAAAGAGTCCAACTTTATGCAAATTTGAAGACCGTAAAAAACGATCCTTAAGACTTGATAATATGGAATTCTTGAGGAGACTTGAGTATATTATGTCTTATCGTGATCGAGTTCTATTACTTAGTACTTACTTGTAGTAATAATGTAGCTCACAAGAAGTGTCTAATTCAGTTTTAACTACACAATATAATCTGTGAATATAATAATACAGTGTAGACCAATAAATAATAAGTTAGTAAGTCATTTTACAAATCATGTTTATTTTTAAGTAAATATTTATACTATAAATTAAAAATAATTCCTTGGAACATATCCTCCCTTTACTTCCGTTCCTCTAATAGAGCAGTAACAAACGTGTTTTTACAGGATTTTCAGTGAATAAGTAGTAACTCTAATAATGTATACAAAATTATGTTTATATTTTTCATTAAATTTTTTCAATGTTTTCAACAGTGTAGGCAGCGTAATCATAACAGCATATGGCGTCCAGCTAATGTGGTCTAAGCCCGGGACTAAAGCGTTCCTTGTCCTGGGTCTGGCTATACTGGCTGCTAGTAGTGTCGCTAGAACGCATAGAAGAAATGCTGATTGGAGGGACCGAGCTACTCTTCTCAGGTAATTACGATTTTTGGTGCAAAAATTAACAAAATAACTTAATTACTGTGCGCATCTACATAGCATAGAAAACAAGTTGACATATTATTGGTGAGTGCACAGAAATTAAGTAGATAATAGCCATAGTATAATAAGACAAACGGTAACTCCATACAAATGTAGCAGCGCGGCTTGTATGTATGCAAGTCCGCCGCGCGCCGTGTACGGACGCCATCATATGCACAATCTTACGCGGCACTCAAGTCGTCGATTGACGCATTTAAAAAAATATGTCAAATAGTAGACATGTTTATTGTTGCGTTTGTGCTAGTTTAGTCTAGTTTAGAAGAGTGCCTCAAAGATTGACGACACAACCATACTGCATAATCAAGATACCAATCCGCGACACTGGTATAAAAATATCAATATAAGTTACTCTACTAGTTTGTTGTCATTATTGATACAAAGATCGAACCTCTGCACATAAAAATTTCTTCGATCTGGTTGGACGCTAACAGCGATCTCGCCTTATCGGGGATATTACTCTCCCATCTGAGCTATAGAACAAGTAATCTGTGGGCCTAGCATAACCTTTCCCAAAACAATCTTATTTCAATGAAAGCTTAAAGTAAGCTTTTTATAATATTACTCATATTCGTACCATGACAGACCTGTCAACCAAGTAATGTATTATTTGATAGTGATTGAAAGAACGAATGATTTCCCAATATTGTCCATTCCTTACTAAAAATAGAAAAGAAATAACGCTATATGAACTATATAATACCATCTTTTTCTTTTTTGTTTTGTTTCTTTTTCTTTAAAATTACGTTGTTTTCAATTATTTTTCCGCATTTTCATGAAGAAAAATAAATAAAACAATTTAAATCTTAATAGTCACGTTGTGAATTCGGAATTATAGTCTAGAGTCAACTGTTAGTGTCACCAAGGAGTTGTTTCCACTGCGTCCGAGCAACTATTTTAAGATTGATAAATTTGACATAAGAACAAAATTACTTTAATAATAGGGGTTAAAGTATGAAATTGCCGATTTGTACTGA